GGGGGAGGGGGGGCCACGAACAGGACACGGATTTGCAAAGCATAGCACGTGTGTGACTAAGTCCCAGAGAGGTTTAGTGTTTACACAAAAGCCTACACAAAAGATATCCCAATTACAACAGCTCTCTGCTACGCTAAATTAGCACAGTGCTAGGAGTATGATCAGCCACTGCCAAAGGATGCCAGAAGCAGCAGGAAAGCTGCAGGAAAACGTGTCATCTTGTTACAGGCTCAGAAAAGCTGAGTGGTGCATACATCTTCCTGTAAAATAGAAGATATGTTTCAGAAGTCATCTAACCTAATCACTAACTGCACTGGAGTCTGTACTAAGAATAAGCCAGCCAAAATTTCAACAAAGAGCAGAGATGACCTTAACCGAAACCAACCATCTCGGTTTGTATGAATATCCGCTACCGTCAGAGTGCTGTGAGCCACCTCCAAAGAGGAGAAACATCAGGACTTTCTTCCTGTTTCATAATAATTTTACGACTAAGGCTGGCTTCATTTCACTAGAACACTTGAAAGCTTTGGGACAAGGACAGTTGCACAGACTGCAGCACAAACACCTAGATCCCTGCATGGGAGCAATTTTTGTTTGACAAAACACACTAGCAGACAGCATGCCTTGGCAGCACAGGCATACCAGCCATAAGGTCTGCACTTGGACAGCACAGACTAAGCAACAAAATACTATTAGAAGAGCATCCAGTTAAGGAGAGATTTAAACCTAAAATAGACCAAGTATGATCCAGCCCAGAGAACAGGTAGAGAATTATATTTGTAGAAGTGTCTAGCTCCAAGTGCTACAGAGTCAGAAATGTTGATAGCTTTTGAAGCATGGTAGCAGCAGCTGGCAAAAAGGAGCCCAGCGTGCAACAGAGCTCCTTTACAAAGCACCAGTTCCTCTTTTGTGTCACTGCATGGTGCTGGCATAAAAAGATCTCTGGGAACAGCAGAATCCAAAAGACAAATGGTGCAAGAGTTGAAGGAGCTGGGAGAAAGGAACAGCAGGAGTGAGTGCAACAGCTTCCTTCTCCCCTTGCCCCTGGAAGGGTATGCTTCTAGAGTTTGATTTGGATAAAGCAGAGCTGCCCTTCCTTTCCCCATTTAAAAGGGCTAAATTATACATTAACATTAGAAAAAAGCAGCTTATTTCCCTCCCCTCCCTACCCCCCCCAGTTTTAAGGATGTTCCACCCCAAGCTCAAAGACCAACAAAGAACCAGTGAGGGTCAGTTATCTGGAGGTGAAGCAGGAAAGAGAATGCAGGAGGTAGCATGGACACCCGAGCACTGCAGTCACGCACACCGGGACTCCCAGACCACCACCACCGGCAGCGACCTAGAGAGGCAGTACCTGGACAGAATGGAGAACCTTGCCACAGGGCATCCAGCTGGCAGCAGGAGCAAAGTTAAAAGCTGGTATGCATCGTATCTAATAAGAGTCAGTGGAGCAAAACTCTTAGGAAGGACAGCTGTTCTCTCCAACAGCATCTCATCCTGCAGGGGCTCAACAGAACTACAACTCCTAAGCACTAGGATCTAGACTTGAAGGTTGGTGCCCGTAAAACACCACCATTTTTTTCTGGCGGGAAGCTAAGAAACAGAGTAACTGACAAACCACCTTAAGAAAATGGTTTTTATTTCTTTTTTTAAGTTTTGATGTTTACAGTTATGCTTTTATTTCTGATAGTATAGCTTTGCAGCAATAAAAATCACAATGCAGCAGAGCAGCTGAACTAAGACCCATAAATACCAGCACAGAAAACAATGGAAAACCACCAATATTTCTATACATGAACTATTATTTTAATGTCACATTTTGACGACTGTAAATGGTCTACAGAATGTATGTGGGCAAAAGGCAATAAGTGAGTCTTTTGAAACACTAGATGTATAATAAACAGCACATTATCAACATTTACAAGATTCACATCAAATTGATGGCATCCTAGAAGTATTCCTTTTAAAGGATAGAGATTTTTCAATAAAATATTACATTTCATTTAATACTCTGGTACAATACTTCATACATTGCAGAAAAAAATAAATGCAAGGTCTACTCCACCTAATAAGAGGATCCTTTTTCATTAGTCTTTAGTACTGTAATAAAATCACAATAATGTCATAAATAAACAGGCTTGAAATAATTAATTACATGTTTCATTATTTAAAAGGGAAAAATTAAAAATTAATTTGAAATAATGAAGTTATGGGTGGAAAAAAACTGACAACACATCCTAGTACCAGCTGATTTTCCCCATTCCCACAATGGGAAAGGAAACAGGTTTCATAACTAGGATACAGCTAATGAAGTTAATCATGTTTCCAACACATACCATAAGAGGAAAAAGTAAAGTTTGGTCAGGATTAATAGGAGGACCAAATCAGTCCTAACAACAGTTAGCTGAAATTAAAGTGTATACTATAAAAACATTCAGTAAATGAAGTCTGCAGCAAATTCATGCTGGCATGAATTATTGTGCCTTAGGAGCTGTGTTAAAATTTCCCTTGTGGTATAAAGTCTTCTACAACAGAATACTTCAAAACTGCATCCCTTTTCCGTTCCATTGCTACAGCGATGGCTTGTAGATCAACACTTAAATTTATTCTCTAAAAACTCACTGGAAATACTTGAAACCCACGTGTTCACTTCTCTCCCCCGAACCAAAGGGCATTTCTCTCTTTTCACCTGTCATAAAATCCAACCACTGTTTAAAATAAAAAGTTCTAAAAGTTACCCCTCTTGCCTATTCATGAAAGGCAGACAAACTCTACCTTGCAAAATCTCCCCTTTGGTTTTCAGCAGGGCCTAACACTCCACTTAAAGAGAAATGGAGTATTTATTCACAACCTTTCAGATTGTTTCCCCCCTTGTCATTGACGTTCTTCCACCATATACTCCAAGATTAATGCACATTCTAGAGTAAGATTTCCCTAGTTCCAAGAACAAATTCCTACACTGGCAAGTTTAAACAGCTCAAATGAGATTATGAGAGGCAACTTCGTTGGCTATGTAACCGATTGCTACTCGTACAGGTCAATCTGAAGACGCATCACATTAGCAGAGTTCATAAGAGTTCAGATTCTTTCAGGACCCTTCTCTCGTTTTTCTTGACTTTCCATTTTGGCGCAGAATGGTTTCAAATTGAACATGTACTCCACCTTGCTATAACGTATGAAGTGTAGAATTTGTGCAACTCTACAACGTTTTAAGCAAATACTTAGATTGCTGTCAGATGGCTCTGTACAAATACCAACACTTAACTGATCCCTGTTGAGCAGGATAAAGCTGTAAATAGGGACAGGAGGGGAGGCAGGCAGTGTAGAATAGGTATCTCACTACTGAATGACCAGATTTCTCTCTCATCCTGACAAAAATTTTAGATCTAGAAAGGGCACAAAAATATGACTAGAGGCTATGACATTAAAACACATTATGTTATGCTGGTGACAGGAGTTAAAAAAAATCCAAGAAAAAACCCAAAACCTCAAAAGACAAAAAGGACAAGCAGCAAAATAACAAAATCCCGCTTAAGATTAAAGAAGCACCTTCATTCAGTTCAAACAAAGTGTTCCAATATTTGATTTTGCAAAGCACTCTCAGGAAAAGGTAATGTAATCTCCTAATTAACCTTTCACAAAGCTGCATTAATTACATTCCAGCCTTTAGCATAATTTCAATATTTAGGCCAATAACGCAATTTCATCGGCCCTGCACCCTCGCATACAGCAATTTAATGCAGTGTTCACCATCTGCACATGCTGCATGAAAACAGCAATAGCTCCTTAACACCACCCAAGTCACAGAACTTCCCCAAAAACACGGGGAAAGATGTTGGTAAGACGCCATTGATACCTACTCCTCGGGAACAATTCTGCCATTAATCCACACATACAGTTGCTAATGGCTTCAAGGGGAAGCTTCTGGTCCAGATAATAGGACAAAGCAAACAAAGTGAAGAAACCCAGCTAACTGGCTACCTAACAGCAACTCTTACTTCTAGAATCTCTGGAAGAGGAATCTGTTTCACTGATAATCAGAAGTGGTTTCAGATGTACATGATTTTTAATCTAACAGGGACAGCAAATTCAATGTGGCCCTGAAAGGCACTTCAGGTAGAACGGTAGTAAACTCCTGCCTGACAAAACAGACCAGAACAAGCCTGCTAGCTTTGCTGCCCATGCTGTCCTTTTCAACTAAGGCAATTTTAGTGGATAGCTAGCTTCCATGCAGCGCTTTCCCCACACAACTCCAATTTAGCCACTTACACTAGCGTAAAGAAAGGCCTTACTAAAAAACCAAAGGCCCAATAGCTTCCACCTCCCCTGCGGAAGAGGGGAGAGGGTTATCTTATGCTAAGGAAACAGCCTGTAGGTTATTTGTTTCACTGTTTTTACTATGCTGGCAAGGTGCCGTCATGCAGCTTTCTAGAATACTTTAACTCTACTAGCCCAATCTCTTGCTAAATAGATGAACACAGACAAATTAACACAGACAGTGCCCTTACAAAGGGTTAGGCCACTGTGTCTTTTGAGAGATACAGTACATTCCTATTTTGGGTAGAGGTCACAGGAAAAGATTCATTTGACGTAAAGGCTACCTTACACAGTTACTCAAAAATAGCCCATCCAGCCACTCAGCTAAGCCGTGATCAAAGCCATCAGTTATCACAAAAAGCACCTTCATATCTGTAACTGCTCACCCCTATGAAACTCGGTTTGAAATGTATTAGGACTAATTTTACCACATAGCTGATTCTATTCACACAGGTGATCCACTGTTTTCAAACAATCAAGTATTGTTCCCATCAGTATTTTACATGAATGTAACGGATTTATCCATTTCATTGCTCTCCCACCCCCACCCCCCAAAATCCCACAACTGCTCAAAATAAGAAATTACTAATAGCCATATCACAAAACAAAAATACTATTAAAAACAGATGGATGACAGTCCAACAGCTTGCTGGATTCAAAACTGATTCTACAAAGTAGCTGTCTACACTGTAGAACGGATTTCCTTTTATTTGGAAGATGAGCAATTGTAAATCAGATACTGGAGAGAAAGAGTATAAACAATCTTTAGATGGTCTTAAGTTTTGCCTACTGTTGAGGGATTAAAACCATAAATAAAAAGGTACCAAGCCTTCAAAGTTCACCACTCATGTGAAGCTTCTTCCATCTCTTCCTTGACCTTTTTAAAAAGCCATATTCATTTCTGGGAAAGGAGGGAAAGAAAATAAAAGTTTAGAAAAAAATAGCATCCATTTATCTTTCCTACGTTATATGAAAATGGTTTCGACTCAGAAAAGCTATAAACTCAAACCAAAAGTCCCAGATCTGCGCTTATAAACTGCGTGGTATTTTGGCAGTAGAAGATGAGACTTTGGGTATAAACTTGGGTGAAGACTGCTGTACCAAATGGATGAAGCATGCTTACCGTTACCAAAGTCAAAAGGAAAAATAGGATGTCTAAATTATTTAAAAATATAGAGGGAAAAGATGAAAGGCTTTAGATGAGAATACAAAAGAAATTAATGACTAAAGACACCTTAAATTCAAAAGTGTTCCTTTGCTGCATTCACAGTCCATTAACCGATGTATTAGATGTACTTATCAGCCAATGACCAATATCAATTCAGTTGTCTGATAGCTATTATAAGTTGGTTCTTGCAATTTTAAAACAGAGTAAATAGACTCTGCAACCTTCTCTTTCAGGAAGAGCAAAGATTGAATTTTTAGTAATATGCCAACAACAGTGCAAGAACTTTGATTCTGAAGGTTTCACTTTTGGCTGACGGGAGTTGAAAGGTTTTGGTAACAGGCTATGACGTTAGATCACTTAGTGGTTTCACTCTGTTTCCTTATGGATACCTGCTCACACCGCATAGGCACAGCGGTAACCTTGCTCACAGCATCTTCCATGAGACCAAGCACAAGATTAAACGTTACTTCAGTCTCTTTAAGATGCACCACTAATCCTTATCACGGACCGGGATCATAGACCAGTTGTAAAGAGACATGGAGAGTTCAGACTGTAGCCGCTACTCATCTTCTGCTGGCACACAGTATTCCACTCTCCTGAATTATTCACTTAAATTACTCAAAGTGATAATAAAGAACTCCAGTGTATGCCACTGGTGAGTAAGGACATGAGAACAAAAGCCAAACTATCAAGCTGATATTCAAGCAAAGCAAGGTGGATCATAGATGTAACTTAATTAAAATTAGCTTTTGGAATTTAATTTCCCTAATGGAAAGGGGGGGGGGGAGGAAGGGAGGTGTCAATGTGAATCTGCTTGGCAGCTACAGTTACAAAGTTACAGTTGTGCTAATTTTTTGTACACTCTGCACCTTCCCTGCCCCACCCCAACTCTAGGCTTGGCAGCTACAGTTACAAAGTTACAGTTGTGCTAATTTTTTGCACACTCTGCACCTTCCCTGCCCCACCCCAACTCTAGGCTTGGCAGCTACAGTTACAAAGTTACAGTTGTGCTAATTTTTTGTACACTCTGCACCTTCCCTGCCCCACCCCAACTCTAGGCTGGACACACACAGTCACTCCTGAACATACATACCCGCCTTTTCATGGAAGTGCCTGTATGTCTTCTCATCTGAAACTTTTCTGCTGTTGCATCAGCCCCACATTTTCATATACTCTAGCACTATCTTCTCTCATTCTGAAATGAAATAATTATTTACATAGGGAATTATTTACATAGGGAAGAGTCCAGTTTGAGAAAGACAGGCACATGCACACAAAATAATTCAGTGGCAATTTATTTTGCTCAATTTAGTTTAAGCGCAAAGTACAGGGCAACAGTCTGGGGCAGATTCTGTGATAACTCTCTCTCACTCGAGGTCACTAAAGATTAATTAGTACAGTTCAAAACTTACTAACAACAAAAACTAACTTACTCTGGACACGTTGGGGTTGGGGTACAGGGTGGAAGAGGGCTCTGATCCCCACTTGTCTGGTCCGATAAAGAATATTTAATGTTTGTGTATTCGTGACCTTTTCTCTTACTCTTCTGTGAAGCAAAACACAATTAAAAGCCAGGTTTTGAACTGCTAATAAAAAACAATCATTGAAGGAACGCAAAAGTTACATGTATAACTAGCCACATTTACTTGTCCTTAGAAATAGGAGAGTTTGTCTATGAACACGAGATCTCAGTTCTGTAGATATAATACAGCACGGGTAGAACCTGAAGGTTGGCTTTAGCTATTTGTGGCGAGACCTGAAAAGCCTAGTTTTTCAATATTCCCCTTTCCACCACATCTCCAGCAGGATGTATCAGTATTGTGAACCTGCACTCATATGCAGGCTTCGTCTCACTTGGCAGAAGAATCCACACTTTCTTCTTTAGTAGACAGTATCAGCCTGTGGGCCTCCCACTGACCTTATTTCCAGCTTGGAGATGCAGCCAAATGAGTAACAACATTGTTTGCAAGATTCCTAATAAAATACCATCTTAGCCCATTAGGTTTGATATAAAAAGAACCCAAGCTGTTATTTGCATTCCATAACATATGTCACAAGCTGCAGCCAATTGTGTTGGCATTCATCTAAAGATACCGAAGGCTCCAGCAAGCAAAGCTACACTGGGACAGAAAGGGGGATACAGCTTTCTTCGACAAACATTCGCAACACGTAACATACACCGAAACCTACATATAAATCAAAGCCTTGCTTTAAAATTTTACAGGGTGTATTTTTTCAAATGTTCAAACAAGTACTAAATCAACTGACCTGAGTCAATCTCACAACAGAGGTTGTCAGAGCCTCCTAGGAGATCTGGCTGCTGAGTTCCCATTAAGAAAGCTTTGTATAGCAGTGTAGGCTGAAGTTTTTCAAGATGGTCTTCTGAGACTTGTTCAAAACTTGTTCAACTTGTTCTATTATTTAAAGAACTTCTCCCCCTCTCAGCCTCCCACTTACTCCTGACAAATCACTTTCAAACAGACCACCAGTCCAGATCAATAACCTGGAAGGTTAAGGCTAAAAAACAAGATTTAAACAAAATACAAAGGTTCAAACTCTGCTGCATTCCACAGTGTTATGGGTACAAGCCTCTCACCTGGCAACAGCTGCCAATAATATTTTGAAGCCCAAAACCAGAGCTTGAATTTTTTAAACTGCATGATGAATGGCAATTCCTGCTACAATTATACAGTAAAAAAATAAAATAAAAAAAACCCAATCAATTCTATTACTTAAAAGATGACTGAAGTAGATGAAACAAGCTAAGAAAAAGTAGATTTCTGGCTTCTCTTCCTCTGACTCAGTTCACAGTTATTATGCTTTCTAACTTAGAGTAATAGAAGGGTGGTAAGAATTACTGGTTACCTAAAGGTAAAAGAACATACACATTTCCAAGGGAAAAATAACTAAGTCCTGGTCACTTTGTTTTCTCCTACATCCCTAAGACGACAGGCAATACTTAACAATACTTAAGCCTGGGAAAACTCGAGGCTCTTAGCACTGCTGTGTTGGCAGAGGAGGGAAAGTTGTTCTGAATATAAGCAAAATACAGGCATGCCTCTGAATGGATGCAGCTATTCACGTAGCCACTCCTTCAGGCCAGCTGGTCACAAGTGCTGCCTGACAACAGGCCTTATTAGCTTAGGCTAGCTAACACGACTGTCGTTTCTTCATCAGAGCTGGGTTGCGTTCAGCCAAACTGAAAAGCAGGAAGGGCAACAAAACAAAAACAACAACAAAAATCAACCTCCACATTCTTTCCTGTAGGTGTGCCCTAATTCACCTCAGCTTTGTTCAACTTTCAGGTTTTACCATTTGAGACCTTATTATGGTATAAAGACGACTGTTTCGGTAGTCAAGAGTTTTGAGAAACAGTGAGTTTCATCCCCAAGCAAATTATCTTTTGTGGACCAGGTGAAATTCAAGCTCTTTAAGCAGAGTTAAGTAGAATAGGAGAGCGCTGTAATTTTTTTTTTTCCTGCTCTCTAAAAGCATGCTTTGGAGCATTCCCAACTCACTTTTTTCCCCCCCAGAACATTAGTTCCCAAAGCCACTGCAAAGTGTTGCTTTTGCCTGAAGAGTACTACTTTTTTTATTCCCATGGCTGCCACTAGCCCAAGTTACAGGTCAAGACCTCCTAAGGTAAAGCAATGGTCTGTTTCCAGCTTAAGGAAATTTTACATTTGTGCCTTCTGAGCTAGTAATATAATAGAGGATGAAATGCAATTAAACTGAACCTGATCACTGTCTGCTTCACTCAGTATCAAAACACTATTCAAAACATTACAGCAATCTACAGACAGCGACAAAGCTATTTGTAGATGATGGCAGCCGAAAGAGACCATGTTCAAAGGCAGAGGATACAAAGCTTGCATTGCATAGTTACACACACAGAGGTATGAGGGAACTCTAAGGCAAAAAGAGACAAAGCAGCCAGAAAAAAGGTACACCTAAGGGATTCCTTGTTCTTCACTGTGTCTAATCACCAGAGCACACAACAGCTGTCCTAGGGAGAGGAAGAAAGTCCACCTTCTCTACTGAATGACGCGTCTACATCAAGGAGGCAAATATAAAACAAGCTCTGCCACACTCCAAAGAAGCCAGAAGCCACACAACAGTGCCAAGCCTGAGCTGACACTCAGTTTAAGCAGGGGTTACATCTCAGCCTGGCGCTACGTTAACCCCAGACACGCAGCTCCCCACATCTGCCTGACCAGTCTCACAGGTTTTTCCCCTTCTGAGCAGCAAGTCAGCCACAGAAGGGAAGACACTGAAACTTTAAAACAAAGATAATCCCAGAAGACCAGAGTTTGGGGCAGAGAATGAAAGCAAACAGCAAGCAGAAATTCAGTTCTTTATCACAATAGTAGGTAGCTTTTGCAGAAGGTTACAGAATTTGAGTGCAACAGGGTACTTCCACAGACCCACTTCACTGTTCCTGTCATCGTCATCCATTCCAAAACCTTCCCTCAGTTTACCACACCAAGTCTCTCCTCTGACTGCTCTCTTCCTTTGAGACCGCACTGCAGGATCACCACGTTCTTTATGATTTTTCAGCCCAATATACTTACCTTTCACTAATTAACACTTAAATTTTAGACTCCCAAAATAGGTAGTGACTAGCTTAGACTGCTAAACTAATCTTGCGTAGCTTAAATTGATTTTGATTATTGTACATTAGAAATATATTTGACAGATTTGAATTCTCTTTAAAACTCAAGAGCACAAGGTTCTGCATCAATCCACAGAGCCTTATCGTTTATTCTCCTTGCCCAGGAAGCCAGACAACGTTAAAGGAGTTTGAGATCTGGGGCACAGGGGTTCAGGGACTGGAAGGACAGAGTCCCACACATCAAAGCATATTCGTGGAAGGTAGAGCAGTACTAGAGCAGTCATGGGAAAGCCTCTCAGACTAATGATTTTCTTCCTCTGCCAGTGGCCAAACGCATTGTTCAGAGTTTTCCAATTCCATCTAAAAGTTTCAGTATTTCTTTAGTGAACTGAAACACAGGCTAACTTCTCTGAACACAGTTTACAAACCAGATGCAGAACCAGCCTTTTCACGATGCTTTGGTTCTCCAGTCAGCAGTCATGCCTCCAAAAGTCACAGGCAGCAAAAGAACAATTCTACTCCCTGCTCCAATGATATGTTCCTAGGAACATTTCATACTTAGGACAAATATACCTGCTCCTCTTCAATTCTGCGTTGTAGCGTTTCAATGTAGTGCTGTACTGCCATGTAAATAAATCTGTACTGTGCTTCTGTCTGAACCATTCCTGATCGCTGCGATCTCACCATCTGAATGGTCTTTGGAACATCAATATCACAGTCCACACCTAGAAAGAATCACCACAGTGTTAAGAACAGTAAAATAAATTTTCCCCTTGGGGAAGATTAGTTTCATATTCTAGCACAGCTGGATGCTCTTGCAATAAGTGAGGTTGGTAGGATCAAACACGCAAGACTCATTTTTGATCACCAATACACAGGCTTTTAGAACTGTAGCATAACATGTAAAGCTGTTCAGGGGAGAAAAATGCATCACCTTACGCTGTTCCAGAAGACTGAATACAACCCAATTGAACACACATGTTCAGCTACTGTGCACGGCAGCTGATAGTTAAATATAATACTCCTCCCTGAAAACAAGTTAAAAATAAGTTACTTGCATTTAACTTACAGGAGTACACCGACAGCCACACACCTATGTGTGACTGACTTTGTTTGAAGAGTCAGATTCCTGGCTAATCCTCACCTGGAAGCCTTCATTATCCTGAAGAACCGGAGCAGGGTTTCAGCAACTTGATTCCAACTAAGTCAAGAGGAGTGAGTCACCAAGAACCCCTTTTACACCAGACAAGCACTCACTTTGTAGTGTCACTGAAGTCCTCTGTTCTATCAGCACTCCTATTCTTTTATTGACAAAGGTCAGATACCGTCACAATGCCCCAGAAGAAAGTGAAAGTGGGGGGAACCCTACCTTTTTCTCTGATTATGTCAATAAGAATATCAATCACAATGAAAGTTCCGGTTCGCCCAATCCCAGCGCTGTATAAAGAGAAGAAAACACAACCGTTGCTCTTTCTGAATAGTCACTGAAACCCTAGTCCAAGCAAGCATCCAGTATCAAGACACGTTAGACTTCCAAATTATAGCCAAACAGTGTCAAATCAGGTGAAGTCACACAGACCAAAGTAACTAGAGACCTAAGCATGTTACATGGAAGAGAAGTCATAACAGCATTTTCTGTGCATTAGGGTTTATTAACATCCTCGAATTAGAAAGAGAAAGAACTACTAAGTCAGGTCTAATACTTCCTTGCCTTATGAAAAGTATCTCATTTATATGCTGAGACTGAGTGATGCCTCGCTTGCAGGAGGTGGGGTGGGAGACTAGAATTCCCATGATCCTGTACCTGGAATATATTTAGACAAGACTAACACCACCCTCTCACACAGCCTCAGAATTTTTTATTCATACCAACATGAATGCTCTGAAAGACAGCTTGCTTAAAAGGTGACCGTTTGACACTTATCTAAAATGTAACATTTCCCAAAGTGTAAAGAGCAAAAAGAGCTTGTCAGATAAAAACCCAAGTAGCCCAAGGGGAAAGTTGCTTTCTCTTAAAGTTTTCAGCTTTTTTCCTCCCCTTCTCCCAGAAAAGAGGGCCTAAGAGAACCTCACAGAAGGGAGACTGCCTAGTGCAGCACTGTACCTGCAGTGGACCACAACCGGCCCTGCATCAGAAATGCTTTCCTGCTTGTGGTGCACCTCCTCTAGAAAGTCTAGTACACCACCAGGGTCACTTGGGACTCCATGATCAGGCCAAGTTCTGAAGTGATACTGCCAGACCGTTCTCTCTGTGTTCCCCTAGAAGGAAGATGCCAACATGTGAAAGAAAGCAATCCTTCAGATCAAAATCCAGCTAAAAGCATTTGGCAAAGGTGACTCAGAGCAGAACATGCATATCCAATCTTCTCCTCCATATCTATAGTACCACATCTCCCTTTAAAAGGGGGAATAAGTCAAAGTTCTTCCTGGCCTGACAAGCTGGTCACATCACCTGCTTCCTTAGCTCCCCTTTCTTCTAGGGCAGTGGTTTCCAACAGCATCTCCATCCTCACTTTTAGAAGCCATGGCAGAGTTCTGTCTGAGGTTAACTAACAGTGACCTTCACCTAACAACTGACGTACTGTCATACTTAGCGTCACTTATCTTGCACACTTCTCCTCATTTGGTCTCATCCCACGGAGATATCACCTCATACACCCTGCTTGTTTGTTTCTTCCACACTATTTTTGCACCTTCATCCAAAGCGCTCCTTACCAAGCAAGTGCTATTTCTACATTAGTTTGCAGATTCCTTCCTCTTTCAAATCCTCACTTAAAGTTTTTCTTGGCACTGCACCCTTATACAACCAGTTTATTTTTCACTTAACACGTTCAGTAAGTCAGAATTCAGCTTCATACACTTTACTACTGGTTTTTCTTACCGTCATGCCACACTTTAAGCCCAGTTTTATGGGCTTAACATCGGCTGCTACAGACTTTTGGCAAGAAGTGGTATACTTTCAGGGGAAGCAGAGCAAAAAAAAAAAAAAAAAAAAAAGATCTACAGAACCTGGAAACAACAGCAAACAGGACTGAACAAGAAGGCCCCTAGATCAGAGGCAGACCAAAGGTGCCTTGATTAATAATAATACAAGACATTCAAATACCTCTATGAAAGAGCACCAGGGAAGGCCCAGCTAGACTGAGTGTGATCTATACTTAAGAGCAGTATCTCATTCCTCTTTCCAGATTTCCTCAAAGCTCTGCAGGCATGCATCATCTTCTACCAAAAAGTGCTTAAAAATATGAATTTTCAATTATTCCAAAGACAAAACGTATGGAACTAAATCTGAAACTTCAAAGAAAGGGACAGAGCTCAATTTATCATGCTCTTAGTGCTTTCATCGACTCCAAAGAGACTGTCAGTTTCTGCCTTTTATTCTTGATTTGCAACCTAAAAAGGACAAAGTTACTAACATACTTACTTGCCCAACTTTAGAAAGCTTGAGTTCTCTTAGCGTGTAATCATGTGCTGCACTCTCCTTAACATTCCTAACGCGCATAACACCGTACTCCTTTAGGGAATATTCATCAGGCCAGTACTTGACACACTTACTCTGCAAGATTCAAAACAAAAAAGCAATCAGCAAGAGGTAAGGCTGGTTCATGAACTGCTTAACATACAAATTTGAGTAGAGGACAATTACTAGCACCAACTGGCCAGCTAACTGACAAAGTAAAGTACCCTTAAGGGGAAGTTTCTTTTCCCCATAACAAATAAACCCACCCACACTGGATGATTTGAGACAAAAAGATTCAGGCCATCAGGACCTCCTAGCAGCCTTCCCGACAGTCTTAATACCTGGCTTATCCTCAATAGTTTCAAATATAGAGGACTAGGATACAGTTACTTATATCTCTACCAAATACTAGTTTCAAAATACTGAGAAATTCCAGTGGATTGCAGCAGCCTTGCAGACTGTTCTATAATCATAATCTAAGAGACTGCAAAATACATAAACCTATGAATACAATGCTAGTCCACACAGTATCTGCATGAGAAATTAGTGGGTATATAGACGCTGCTTCTAGCATTCAAAAAAGCAGACCAAATGGAGTATTGTGGAGAAACATTTCTCATAAATATGCACTAGTAACTGTAAATATAGAAATACAGCAACAAGGAAGTTTCTTCTGCCAATAGAAGACAATTAAAAAAACTTGAACACACGCTTTCCAGTCTACATAGGCAACAAGATGCTTTTTGGTTACTTTTGCCCTCTTCCCCCACTTCTCTAAAAGAGTACAAGCTAAACACAAAATGTTGATCTTAGTGTATGTCAATATAACTTGCCAGTTTCAATACAGAACTCTGAACACAGGAACAAGTGCTGCTATAAACAAGTCTCAATAGCAACACGCAATGTTAAAACAAGCATTAGTCTGATACAGGGGATGCATATATGATCAGCTCAATGGATTGCCTCCAAAACACCACTATTTTAATTTGTGAGTATTTGTTTGCTTCTTCTACAGTACATTCTAAAGCATGTTCAGAGTTCTATGCAGATCTGAGATGTTTCATAGCTCCTCACTTCCTTAGGCAATGTGTTCATGAAGTCATCTCTGATCCAGAGGTCTCTCTCCTTCCTGCAGATCTGAAAGCACCTTGGCCTGAGATAAAAAAGCTTTTATTTTATACCAGGACGGGGATTGTTATTTGCAACTCTTGAAGAATTGAAATAGGCACCAAGAAAAAAATTATATCTACACACACACACCCCCCACCCCAATGCATGCAGCACTACTTAAGTAATCAAACATTAAAGCATTCTATATACAGCCACAGCACAGAAAGCAGGCTTAGCACAATTTGGAAAGAATCACAGAGAAACTGCAAAGGAGCAGCACAGCCATTCGGTAGGTTAGCTGAAAAAAGTATAGTCAAGTCCACCCTTCCAAAGCAATCCCAAAATGTCTCTTCTTCCAACAAAAAGACCTTAGAGGAAGGCCACTGAAAAGGGGTAGCTTCTCCTTTCTTCAGTGTATTCTCAGGAAGCAAACAGAATCAAGTATTTTAAAGGTCCCTTCATAAAAAAGGATGAATGGGCAGAAGTCTATTACATCTAGAAAACCCACGAAACAGAGTCTATGGCTTTTATAAACGTCAGCAATAGCAGTTTTGATAACCAGGTCAGGAATAGAAGCCCATAAAATCTACTAATATTCATCATCTACACAAAGACTCTTGTCTTCCACAGCAGAAAGAAGGAGCCTCCACAATTATCAGTCATCCACAGTAAAACATTAGCTATATTTTCACCTCCAATTACTTCAAAAGCAGCGCTCATCTAAGAGGATAACAGCTTTCCACTCAGAAACAGATCTATCATATTAATGAAAAAAGTAGACAACAGTATGTGGAAAAAAGCAGAGAAACTTCAAATAAGAACAGAAACTATTTACGAAAAAGAAAGAAGAAAAAAATCAGAAACAATACATTCCAAAGTAAGATAAAACTATACTACACACAGGAAATGGAATGTCACCACTGCCACAATACCAGTACTCAACTATGTTCTGTCATTCTATTTTCTTTTGCCATGTGCCATTAGAAACCAGAAATAAAACAGTCTTGCATTTGCCAGAGGACAGTGAATAGACAAGATCTTGATGTTTAAAAGGTAAAAGGGAGGTTCTTGGAAGACATCAGTGTAGGAAAATTTCCTCCTTCAAAGCAGCGAATATTGCCAGAGCAGTTCACAAGGGCCTCACACGTTACCAAGGCTGAACAAACAGCTGCGATCATGCAGAACAGAGCAGATAGAGGCAAAGGACCTGACTTTAAGAATAAAAGGGCTAAATCATGCCTGCTTCAGGGATTCTTAACCAGATGCAGTTACAACCTGAATCACTAGCTCAACACATAAGTAAAAGCTATCAAAATCAAGCATGGAAAGTAAAGTCAGAGGGGAAAATTACATTACAGCAGTGTCCAGTAAACGTCACTTGAATGAGGTGAATCTGAGGCAATAAATTTCATATCATTTTGTAGTTTTTAGGAATACTCTCTAAATTCATTCCTACATTAATAACAAACCCACAACTCTACTTTTCCTAATAAAGTCTATTTTAAACAGCAATATTTTGTCACAGGAACAAACTCAAGGAATTAACTCCTTAGAGCATGCAGAATATCTTGTCTGGCTACGCTTATCTTTCCACAGGCCCACTCCCTGAATAACTTTGCAGTTATTCAGAAATCAAAATTCAGCAAGTAAACCCGATGACACGGTAGGAGTACATCCTCAGTTCCCTCCAATAGAAGGGGACACTCAGCACCTTTGTACCAGGTCTCCAGAGAAAGCAGTGGTGCATCAGATTTTCAGCTTTCAGCTCGTAAGTCAATGCAACAAAGTCAGTTTAGTCCTTACTTGCATTCAAATGTATGACTTTTCCCAAGGTCAATTTAAGGTTCTGTTTTTACCTTTCCTCTTTCAACTTCTTTTGTTGTCATAACAATAACTCGAGAATTCTCCTGGAACACCATTCTCCAAAAATCATTCACTGTATTCTGTAGGCAGCCTTGAGTAGCAATGTAGCTTTTTTTTGGCTTTGAGTTGTTGCACTTCGTTTCAAATTCAGGCTGGAGACAAAGCATAATTTAACAAAGGATGACAAATGAGATTAAGAGACTAACTTGGAATTAGGTGAGCAAGTTGAATAGATATAGGTTATGCCAATAAGAGACTCCTATAGGTAGTAGCACACTTACCATAATAATATTAGCATTGATATAGTCTGAAACAGGTTCATTTGGATCACCATCATGTAGAACAACTCTGGTATGATCAACTAGAAGAACATAGACAAATATGTTAAGCAGTTGCATCCTACAATTGTGAATACACGACTATTCTGAAATATCCAGATAGGCACATTTCATACCATTACCAGAAACTAAGTTGTCAAACTCGAATAAGTGGTTAGAATACTCAACCTTTCCTCTCTTCAAGACAAGCACCCAGTTCCTAAGAAACTGGATCACAATATCTAATGTTTATTCACCTTAGTACTTCATAAAGGCACGGACAGTCAAGCACTAGGTCAATATAAACGGACTTACAAACACTGCTAGATTCATTCCATGCAGTTTTGTACCGTAACTTAATCCTCTTAAATTTAAGCATCCCAATTTGCTGAATAACAGTTTTGGAATGTGATGCCTTTATATGAAATCTAAGGATAAACACAGTATTAGGGAATCAAAGTATCTGTATCTACAAAGACCACATATTCATGCACGAGTTGGAAATGGTATGGACTAATTTGACAACAAAGAGGAAGTTATCACTAAAGAGACAAAATATAGCATATTGGTACTTAATTAACACTGTATTTACTAGCCAACAAAAAATAAAGCATAGAAAAACATAAAAAGCATAAAAGCTTTACCTTATAACGAAGCAAAGTAATACTTACAGGGTAAAATGTTTTTGTATCTATTTTTGTTTTTGTTCTCTTGCCTCTGACCTTCTTTACGACTATATAGAAGTTTACATTCTTGCTGCTGTAAAGTCTAGATGAAAACAGCACAAATAACCGATTTCATTAAAAGCAGCAATATATCAGGAAAGAAGAAAGGTACAGACTGTTTCACCATCACTTCTGTGATCCTTGCTCACAGAAAAGTTGATACTTGATTGTAACGCCCAGTGATCTGGGAGATAAAACTTGGGTTTCTCCATTCAAATTCAATACAGCATTGCTTCCAAGGCATCAAAAGGCATGACTTAAACGCAACAGTATGAGTGACAAGATAAGCTATTTTCCCCTCTATAATCGCATACCCATGAATTCAAAGCCTTTTCAAAGCCATATAACTATAACCAGCAAGTTCTCACGCTACTGCTCTGACCTAGCGGACAAGTTGATCCCATAAAGCTTTTAGCTGTAGAACAACGCACAAGGAAGATAGAACTGGCTACCACAAATTGAAACATAATTTTTGTCTTCAGAAAGCTAGCTGTCTGGAAGAGATCCTCCAATAACAAACCAAAAAACACAAGCAGCTTTCTACAGAACAGGCCCAAATACACACATTTATCACTAAATCTTTCCTATCAAGCTTAAAAATTAGGAGTAATTGCATATTTCTCCTGCTTGCTGAATTAGGCAGGTAAGGGGTTAAAAATTCCCCACTGAATTGTCCTTAGCTTCAGTACAAATGGTGATTAATACCTAACACATTCAAATCATTGCCAGTCTGCAAAGGAGTAAGGCCCTTTATAAGCTAAGCTTCTCTACCTGAGCTGTTCTAGATCCCTCTAGGCCTTACTCACCAGCCTCCTTCCTCTGCTTCAGATGAGGCAAGCGTGTAGCAACACTGCTGTAAAGTCCCAAAGCCAAGTCCCCTGAGGTTATAAAGGCTGTGTTATAGCAATGCCGCAACAACTTGCAAGCCTCAGCCAGACCAACTCTAGGCAGCTAAAGAGGAGGAAGGAGATAGAGGAAACCCAATAAAGCACATCACCATAAGCAACTGTATCAAGCAACCTGAAAAGTCCTCAAGCAGTTAGAAGCAGAATATTAAGAAAATATTGTCTACGCCCTCAAAAAAACCACACTAGGAAGAGAATAATCAAAGCGCACAGGTGGCACACAAAGCCACCTGCACTGAGGGTAGCAACAGTATTTTGAACTTGTAATTTATGCTATACCTCTCATACAAGAGGTAATTAACTCAGTAAATGAAGGAAGCCAAGTTTTCTCACTCCCTTATTACACACATAGATACTACAAAGCAGCTTACTAGGGAAGATCGGCCAATAGACTTGGGAGCAGAATTTGATCCTTTGTTCAACAATAAGCTTCCTACCTACCGCTAGTCAAATTAGCGAGGCCAAAGTCCACATGGCAGTGCTGTTGTATTTCCAAAGATATGGACAACACAAGTAAAATGCCCAAAACAACGCCAATGTAGAATACTTGAGCAAACAATAAGCAATACTTGAGCAAATAAGAAATCCCACACCACTTTCCTTCACCAAACCAGCACACCATTTTGCACAGATTTTCCTTGGACTAGCCTGAAAACATTGGGGGTGCTTAAGCTTGCTCAAGTATCTACAAACAGGGTTAACCAATATAAATCATCCTAATACAGAAACAAGAAAATCTGTATGAAGATTCTTTCTCTTGACGAGGCCGTAACTTCTCTATGCCCAATTCACAATTAATGTGACAGGGATAACAGTAATTCCACACTTTACAGCAGTGTTGCTTGGTAGCACATCTCCCTACTTGCAACATAGCTGGAGGGACCAGACCTAGATGTCTTTGCTTTCTAAAAGGAACACTTGAGACCCGGAGAGATGCTCCTTTTGCTATTACCACCTTTAATATTCTTTCAGGGGTTACTTTTGCTTTAAAGCTTGGGCATGTCAGGCACATTTGCTCACTTCTGTTGGTCTCCATTATTGTTACTGCCTCATGTAGTGACCTCGGACAATTAGGTTCCTTCTAAAGACAGGGAAAACCAAAGGCCCTGGAGAATAAAAGCAATACACAGGAGAGTTGAGAAGTTTCATGTCTGTGAAGCAAAGACAAAAAACATTCCATAAAGCACTGCTTGCTATTACTAGCCATGGGTGAAAGAGCATTTTGCAGTAAGTGCACCTCCTGCCATTCTGCAAGTTTTTTTTAGATGCCTGGCTAAGCTATTATTACTGAGCATCTTTTGTATAAATTATCAAAACTTGACACTTTGAGGTCTTGGCCAAATGAAACACAAAGCAAAAGAACCAAAAGCTAAGCTTTGTTTGCAGGTTATAAAATGGAAACAAGTGTGTGGAAACAGTAGCTTCAGACACATCTTCACTTCATCCAGTTTATTATTGCTTTGAGCATCCCTGAGGAGATATCTATGAGCAGCAGCAACTTGTAACAAGCCCATTAAGAATATACATAATGCAATAATAAATCTGAAATGCAGTTCTGTATTTCACACCACCATTGAAGCATTAAACTCACCAGTCGTTTTTCAGAAGCAAAAAACATTACAGAAGACTGCCAACATTTCTGCCCAGTGGCTCACAGGACAAGAGGTACATCCTTAAATATGCCTAAAGACAATTTATAACTACCGCCTGGACAGCCAAAACACAAACGGCACATGCAGAGTTTCATGAACAACCCAGAATTTGCTTCCATGCTTCCTCCCAAGACTGACAGCCATTGCTTAAGTTGAGGTGAAGGAAAAAGATGACATTAAAATTGCTACAAGGCTGGTTCATTCCCAAAAAACACATCACAAGTTAAGGATTAGTGCTGTCCTCAGTGACAGCAGTGAAAGGAAGAGCGCAATATCTTGTGATAAGAATCTCATCTCTTACAATTACTTTATCTGCAAGACTTTCGGCTTGCTAGCAAATACTTGTCCTCGGGAAAGTTATAGGAAAGGAAAACACCTTGCTTCTAAGGGCCAACTGACAAACCCATTACAAGACAACTTTATTCCACAAAGAGCACAGGCCAGAAAAGAAACCATAAATGCCAAGCAGCAGTCCAATCACTTCTGAAGAATCAACAATCCATTCCTAAACATAAACAGGATTGCTTCCCTCAAGAAAAATCATTCATTCAAGGGCTTCTAGTGAGCTGGCACCAATTACTACGGCAAGCCACTAGGTATATACTTTCCTCTTTCCTTTTTAAAGCTCTCTGAATAAGAGTAAGGTATGCACGGAGTCTCCAGGGAAGATTGCTAACAAACACTTTTTCTTGGCTAACTTGCAAAATCACGTTCATTGCATGTTCAGGCTAAACTATTCAGGGATCACAGGAACGGTCTAGATTAAACATCACGATACGATAAAGTACACCGCTGATCACGATCTCTGGAAAAAGCAGTTCATTCCCAATGCAAGTTCTGGCCATTAGAGCAGGTGCGGCTAATCTTCCTGACCCTTCAGGCCACATATCAAAGCTTACATGTTGCAAGAGAGGCAATTCAAGGGCTGAGGCTACTTTACCTCCAGGAGGGGTTCACAAGCAATAGAAGAGAACTGCTCCACACAGGATCCACCACTCTACTACTGAGTGAGTAGTTTAACAGAGCTCTAAGTCCTTAGTAATGACCACAGTAGCCTCTGCTGGCTTGCTTCCACCTCCACTTGGCATTCTGACTGTTTAGCAGACCTGGGCCAATCCTCATCTGCCTACAACCCACACGTGACTCAAGCACCCCAGGTTAGTTACCTGGTACCATTCATATCCTGCCAGCTCTGAGGGAGCCAACTGCTACTAATTTAAACCAGTCTGCTTAAGGTGCTTTGATTTACCAGCTGTGTTTATCTTGGGCTTCCTGCTCCTTCCTCACTGAGGAGGGCTACCCTAGCTACTTCAGACTTTGAAGGCAGTAGATTAGGAGAACAAACTATTTCAAAGAATACGAAGCAGAATTCTCATTTTATGTCTTTTCACCTCTCCATCATCTCACCTTCTTGTGCCGCATGCACATTTGTGGAGAAATTTGCTACCTCTTTGGCAAAAATCCCTTGCTTCTCACGGTTTTATTTCCTCCCACGCATCCTTGCTAAAACAGTCACAGAGCAGACTGGAGAGCACATTGAGCTAGTGAATATGTTTGACCAGAAGAGAGTTTCTTTGGACTGGCACTTTGCAAATCCATCACTATTCAAGTAATTTCTAAAAACTGCATTACACAGCCAAACCAGCCTCTTTGTGACGGAGCTTACATCACAGGGCTTTCCAGTTTCCTGTTGCCATCTACTGGTGGAGTTCCACACTCGACTATGGATTTTTTCGTGTGTCTTAAATATAATGGGCCAGTTTATATCACTTCTAAAGCTTCTCGCTATGAATCATCATTCACATACAGCTGCTAAGTCGCTCCAGTTGTCAGAGAAGGGTTAGGCCCCAGGGTAGACTCAAGTAGTTTGGAATCTGTTATATAGTAGAGAAAATTAAGTGCGACTACTTGAGAAACTACCAGTTTCAGCTGTATTTTCCTTTGAATGTAAGTGCTCCCTGAAATCATTAGGGCTTCAAAGGACTGGAGAGCTGCACTAACACAGCTACATTCAACACGTAAGAGGAATGCAGAACAGAAAAGGCAACGCTATCGGGGCAGGAAATGGAATTTTGGCTACAGACAAATGAAGCTTCCAAATAAAAATAAATCCCCAGGAGCCCAAGGAATACATACAAACAATGTTTTTTCGTCTCAGGGGTCACTTGTGAGGCTACCCTCTTCACAATAGTTTCAAGAGCAACAAAAATGGCTATCAAAGAAGCCACAAACTCAAGGGCAAGAGCATATATTGACTGAGAAATCTCACTGAAGTTTTCTTAAAGCAATGGTATCCACCCTCCCAATCACAGCCGGCCACATACCAAACCATCCCTCTGCACCAAGACATGCAACAGAAGGCACAATGTAATTCATCTTTGTATGTGCAATAACTCTGACACGGTACAGCTGCATCAGGTACAGCTGCATCAGGTACTGCTACTGAACTGCTACCCAGGTCTGAGTGATGGAGGCTAGAAATAAGGCTGTTGCCTCCAGAAATGTTAACCCTGCCTACAGAACTTCTTCCTGTCCACGTGGAGAAAAGGCAGCCAGGAACGTGCCCGATTAGTTATCCTAGTGGGCCAGATATGGCAGCTGTACTTCAGGTTCCTTCAGGATGGGGAAAAAACAAAAACAAAAAAAGCCACACACATGCAGGAGGGATCATGTTTATGTTTGAGATGAACAGCACTGAAGAACTTGGATAGCTCTCAGTTTGGAGAAGAAAGATAAACATTGCAGCCATTCAACTAGCAGGCACAAGTGTAGAACTGCTACACTTGTAGCACTTCTACACTTGTAGAACTGCTACAGAACTGTTTAACATGAGCTGTACCTGACACATTAGAAGGGGACAAGGACAGGGATTTGAAGCAACTGGGTGGGGAGGTGAGATACTATCGGGAAGGCAGTAACAAAACTAACTTTTTAGAAGCACAGAGATTCACCAACATTAATATAACATTTGAAATGTAATCAAGTACCTCAAATTCTTCCCAGAAGCCCTGCTTGACTTTATCTGTAGTCTCTGCTAACTTGCTTAGCTCTCGCACTCTGCTTTCAATCTCCGCAGCGTTAATACGGGTGGTGTTCAGAGGCTAAGATACAAAGTATTAAACAATGGTATAACAATGACAACTGCAAAAAGAGTTAAAACGCACACATTGTACCTCCCTACATTAGGTAATATTTTATACAGGTAACATGTAGAATTCGAGCATCCAGATATCTACTTGGCCTTCAAAATTTTACAGGTCACGCAAAGAGGGGGGAAGAGAAGGGAACACATTGCTTTTAATCTAAAGGCTCGCAGTTGTTCTTCAATGCATTAAGTTGACTCTTCTCTGGACTACTCTTGCAATCCTTATGGGCCACGATGAAGCCAAGAGAAGTTCTACATGCATCAGAAACACAAGACTATCCTTTACAAGCAGCTAAAAGAATTGTACCAGTTTAATTGACTGACTTTGTCATCCAGTTTCACAAAGTTTATTTATTCGTTTTTGCATTAGGAAAGAGAAAAATGATGTCTCATAGAACGCATGGAAAAAACTGCGCTCCCCCAACAGCACGTGCTGAAGGTAACAATTTAGTGGCATTTTCCTCCGTTCACTCACCTGTTTGAGTTGCAATACTGTGCCCAAAGTTTCTACCATGGGATTCTTCTTATAATGCTCCACTAGATCTGTCAGAGAGTCAAATTTCTCTCCTCCACCAACATCGTATTTTAGATCCTTGAAAGACAAATGCTCAATCATCAAAATAAATGCACTACTTATGAAGTCTACACTAATATCTCCAGGCTATGCAACATACGAGAAAATCTCTTTAAAAACACATGGAGAGAAATCTAGTAAGGCTCTTTCACTAAGGGATGGTAGAATTTGAATAAAAAGACAACAGGAAACACACGCACGCACACACACACTATAGAGGGCAATCCTTTTTGTCACCTAAATGAAAGTTACTTTATCTGCCTTCCTGAGAGCTGTTTCCTTCTGAAACAAGGTTCAGTCAGCTCAAGCAGACTACCTGAGCTACACAATTAGAATCCAGAAACTAACTTTGGAAATTAATTCAAATTCCTAAAAGAGTCTATTACTAGCTCCTGAAAGGCTGGTATTGGCTAGTACCATCCCAACTTTAAGGACGCAATGGAAAGTAATTTTCTTCAGTCTCATAAAGGTTAATGGTAGTTACCTGCAAGTCAAGGAAAGGTTTTCTTGAAAGGTTACCATACATACAAAACACACTGAAAAGTGAAGTTATTTCTCCGAGGAATAATTTTACCTTGATGCAGAATTAGACAGACTTGGTAAGCCAGACTACATGACATCCTAAGGTCCCTTCTACACTCACATTCTACAAAACAGTTTCTATCCTACTGCCCCCACCTTTCCAGAAAAATAAAAATTCTAGCAATGATGGCTCTTGGAACCTTAGCTAGCCAGTTCTATCTCTAAATTATTTCTGTTATTGTATTTGAGCTGTCTTTAAATAATGAAGTTGTTGCAATATCTTTTTATCCTAGAAGGAGGAAAAGTAAACAGATTTTATTATTTAATAGCAAACCCTGGGCATGTATGAAAATCAGAATACTGTAATTTAATAGTACTTTATAATAGAGATTAGTTCTCCATTTATTTCAAGCTTTTGATTTAAAATATTCCTTGGATTAAATACTCAAAGTATGTACTGAATGTTGCTCTTCTATCAAGAGAGACTTTGTAAAAATGACAGGAGAAACAGATACTCAGATGGATCTCTATTTGTCCAATTACTACTATTTTTATATGATTTATCCAGGAGACTGCAACCTGCTTAAGAAGATTCATGAACATGAAGGGCTCCATCAGCAGAGGATTTGAGACAGACTTCTGATGCAATCAAAGTTAAATCTATTAGAAGGTACTTGACAGCATGGTGTAGCATGACATGATTCAGTCAGGCAAGCAGTGAAAAATAAAACACTAATTGAATTTTGAAACTATCCAACTAGTCAATTTGATCCAACAGATGATATATAGCACATACAGTACCATGGGGAAAGGGGAAACTTATTCAATTCATTGAATACATGAGAATGGCCCTCCTGTTACAATAAAAAACACTGCTCATAGAAGTAATACTATTAAAGAAGCTCCTGCTTCATCATACCTGGCAGTGAATCATGACATGTGTCACTTTAGATTTCCCATCATTACTCTCTCCTTTATCATCTCCTGTCCGGACAGAAAGAACAAAGTCCCCAGGGTGGCTTTGACTCTCACGCACAAGAAAGCTTCCATGTTTTCCTTTTTCTGTTAATAGTTTTTCAGCTTCTCTTCCAGAGAGATGTCCGTGAAACCACCTTCAAATAGAATAAGCAGCAGACAGGTACCCTACTTGTCATTCTGGCTGTGGCTGGATCTACTTGGTCTAAACAGCTACTACAAACTAAAATACTTGTACTAGGTTGTAGACTGAAGAAGTGTCCAGGTCTACAGAAAACTCCCCAGTATGTATGCGGGTATATATGTGTAAATATATAGAAAAGACAAGAGGAGTCTAGGAAGCATGCAGGCATAAACGCATGTGATTACAGAAACCGTTCACAACAAGCACTTCTACAAGCACCAAAATTCACGTTTCATGCAAGCTTCAAATGAAGTTTTGGTTTGGGTCCTCTACAACAATCCACATGGATTCTCTGGTATCTAGTAAGCGTGAGCTTACACTGCAGCCTTTTCCTCAGTCAAGGCATTTACTGTTGTTCCACTTCCTTCACTGGGATGTCCTTTCCCAAGAAACCTGCGGAAACTTAGTATCTTTGAGACCTCACTCTTCCATTACATTCAGAACTGGAAAAGATAATCTTAAGTCTCAATTCTTCTAGAAACATGGCTAGAAAGGCAATAATCCCAGAAGGCCTCAGGGAAGACTCAAATAATACTGAAGGAAGAAGGGTCAAAACAGTTTCATTTACTGGAGAAAAAAACTTGTCATTGCTTCTGCCATTTCTTGCTGCACGCACTTACACCGAGTTCAACGCTGTATTTTGTTAGTGGAGAGCCTTCACTGCTAGTGTTAAATAAAAGCTATTCTGAGGAGTGAAGGAACTTACTTTAATGTTTTTCCTTGCTTTTTCATTTCTGGGAATAAACTGACATCTACTGGCCATAAAAGTGTATTTCTGACGTGCACTCCCTCAATATACGCCAGAAGTCTCAGATCCCCCTTATCACCCTTGCTCCTAAGGACATGAGTTTGAGCAATCAAACATTTGCATTTGTCATTTATTCTTACACAGGCCTACTGCTGGGAAAAGTGTATAAACTTATGCCTAGAACTATACCTGGGAGTTCCCTGCAGTAATGTAAGGGCCTCAGGAAGCATTGGGAGAAGTATAAAACATTCTCGCAATGAAAATCAAGGGAGCTATGTCCCCTTTTTTTTAGCATTATATCATGCCAGGAGGAAGGCTTCAAGACCTATTTTCTCCAGGATAATGCTTTCACCTTTAATCATATTTATTAGTCTACTTTGCAAGTAATTTCACCGAAATCACAGGACTAGTTGTATAGGATAGGGCTACCTTTTCATCAAATGGAAGTAGACCTTTGTATTAACAGGGATAACACGTGCATTTGGTAAGAAATGCATGGACATTGGGGTTTTCACCACTATTCCTCTGACCTTTCGGATGTAGGATCAGCACAGTTCAGCGGATATTTCAACTCTATAACATCTCCATTCTTTTCTTTGAGCTGCCCATGATGTTCCATATAATACTGGACTAACTCAGCCAATGTAGCAAACTTCTCTCCTCCATAGAGATCATAGTAGTCCCCTGTGTTCTGGATCTTGATGTGTGTGACAGCTCCAGTTCGTCTAATATTTGAAACAAAGACAGGGAGGGAGGAAAAAAAACAATACATAGGTCAGCTGATTTCCAGTCAACTACTTCTATCTTTAGTGTTCTCTTGTCCGAGTTGAAGAAATCCATACTTACGCTTATATCACTTTCCAACTGAAATACTGCAGCGTAGCTAAGCAAGCGAACATCTGAAGCGTGCTTCAGCCACATTTTAGTGGCTCGCAAGAAGGGGAAGTGGCTGTCCAACAGTTCGGAAAAAGTGAATGAAATCTGAATTCCCATAACGAAGGGATGCTCTAAGCTGGTGAAAGCTCTGTGGCTCCACAGTCTCCAGCAGAAATCCCCCAGGCCTCCCAAGAATTGCATACACGAGCACAAGGGTAGGGGAGGACGTCAGCATTCTCAAGGCAGCCTGTTAGAGCTTGTTCGCTACCTTCCCTTTTACAGGGTTGATTTCAAGTCGCTACTAATGCCTTTTCAGCAGCCCAAGTATTACACAGGCCCCAGTAGCCAAATCCAAGGAATCTGACATCTTACCAGTTTTCCTTGCATAGATACCTAGAAACTCACTCTAACATCTCTCCTTTAATAAACAGTCAGCATTGGCTTATATAAGCCATTTGTTCTCCTAGATTCTCTAGTACTAATGAAGAATAACTCTCTAAAAGAGCTTCTTTCTGTTAACAAGGTCAATGATCTCAAAGGTATCCAAGTAACATCATTCCGATCACCAATCCTACTTTTCCCTTTTCTTTTATCCACTTCCTCTTATCCTCCTTTCCCCATCTCTACCACTATACACACAGTATCAGGGGCAATTGTTACAAAAGGCCTATTTGGGAAGCTGAAGTAGCACTAGAGTTGCTCTTAAAAATTTGCCGACTTTCCCTATAAGAAGGGTCTGGAGAATATCTTCTTGCAAGCACCTGCTCAGTAATTCAGATCACCTCTGCTACTTTTACATTGTTATCAAACAGATTTTTAAATGGCAATTATGAATCTACTTCTGCTTCCCCTGACCTTTCCTGGCTCTCTCCAGATTCAGAAGCCAGTACCCTCTACGCTGTGGTTTCTCAAGTTCTCTAAAGGTATCTGGGATCCTCCTCAAGAGGAAAAGTGAACAGACTAAGTAGAGATGAAGGAATGCTCCCATCACAAGTAGTTCATTTCCATTTGTTTCCTACAGAACAATATCAAAGGGAGAACCTTATCAACCTGGGGAAAAAGACAGAAAACACGTAAACTTACCTAACAGAGAGCGTAAAGTCTCCTGGGTTACTTTTGCTGGGCCGTGCCAGAAAACTGCCATCAACTCCTCTTGTTAACAGTAGGTTTTCTGCCTCCACCCCAGTAATATTTGGATGAAACCATCTATATGAGGTTATAAATAAAGTAAATAAAGATCTTATTAAGTGTTAATTTACACGACAAGACTATACAGAACAATCCAACAGTTTTAAAAACGGACAATACTGAGTTTTGTTCCTAATAAGAATCCCCATCTTAGCACAAGGCATATTACATTGTAATTTCACTATTTGTAAGAGATGCTTTAAAAGTGAGAGCGCTACATCTATACATATTCAGACTACTCAGATTAAATAATACCAAAGAAAAGTACACAATGTAAACAGAGACCACAAGCCACAGACATTTGCTTACTCCCGGAAAACAGGACACTCCATCAGGAAAAATACTTTGTAGAAACTGACACACATTCACCATTGGCACACTATACATATTCATAAATAAAACAAAAAACATCCAAAGTGACACTTCATCACATTTTAAGAGTCAGAAATTAAACAAAACCTCATGCTTTAGGGCACAGGCTGGCCACCAACTGATAGAGATCAGGAAGGAACTTCACTTGTAGGCAACCTGTTCAGCTGCCCAGTCTTCTTCCACCTTCCTCTAAAGGACGTGGTGCTGACCACTGCCAGGCACAAGAGCGCTGCTCTGTCTTCTAACCACCATGCCAGTTTCTCTGATCTCGATATACCACACTTAAATACAAACACAGAGGAATCTCATATCGATGTTCACCACCCACAAACAACCTTCTGAAGGACTAATGTACCGGCCTGCCAAAGGAGAGCTGTATATGGTCTATATCCAAGAAGTTCAGTGTCCCCACCTTTGGCATTAACTTTTGAGAGACTTATTCTTAGCTATTCGGTTAGCACATCTATGTTTTCTCTATCTTTAAGTTGGAAATTTTATTCCACTCTTGCAGCACTAGAGTACTTCTGTGTTCTAGCTCAGAGGAGTCTTTATCAGACATAATTTTAGAAGACAAAAAACTGAGGGAAAAGAAAAAAAAAAGAGATCACAGTGTCCACTGCTGCCTGAGACAGCCCAGGGACAAAGAGGTGAATGCAGCAACCAAAAACTGTTTAAGTGGCTTTGTCAGACTTGTATTTTTTTGGCAATTAAGTGGGTTCCATTATTTTCAGAATTGCTGTAAATCAGACACTATGAAAGATACAAATGAAAATACACTTCTGTATCTGCAGAAAGAACACAGGCTACTGCTCTTTAGAAAAAATAAGAACCTGGTGTACAAAGTAAAGTAAAACACCAGGGCAAGAGACTCCGGCTGCAGCCAGCCTCATGCAGTTATAAGAGCGATGCCTTAAGGAAAAACAAACAAACAAAAAATTAAAACCATTTCTGATCATTGCTGATATAGTCAGGATTTCATGATAAATTGCTACAATAACAACAAGATATGAAAGTGCAGGCCTAAATTGAGGGTTACCACTTTATTACTTGAATTGGTTCAGCAATTCTTTCTATACTGAAAATTGTTAAAGCTGCCAATATCCTTAGGAAGGCTTTATCCCACCTGTTCTACTCAGGTACAACTTTTCATGCAAATATTCTGGACAGTTTTAGAGAGTCCAGAACATCCAAACATCAAGCAAGACATCCAAATGGGAATTAGGATTGCAGATGTACCAATTCATTTTAGCAGTAAACGGTCCCTCGTGTGAATTTTGTATTTTTCTGGTTAAGTATGTTCTACTTGCACCAAGGAAACCTATTCAATACTACTGTATCTTTAACTGAACAACCGAAAAAGAAATCAAGCCTACACAGTATGGGTCATGAAATGAATATATTAAAAAAATACTTCCAAGTTGTCACAGCAAATGGGAGTTAAAGTGAATCAATAAGTAATCCTACATTTATCTAATGACTACCTGAAGGTCAAGAGAAGTGTCCTGACAGAGACATATATTTTGCCTTGATACAGTCTCACAAAAGAAACAGCACAAGCATCAGTACACAGGGTGAACCAAGCATTAAATAATGTATTTGGGGATATGATAGATTTGGAGGGGAGAAGCTGATAGTATCTTCCCCACACTTTCACCCTGAAAATTTTACTTCCATTAGAAAAAAAAAAAAAGTGACAAATTTTGGAACGGTTTCTAAGAGTTTTAAAAACAGATAGGATTCAGGACACATCTTTGGGTGTTTGAGTTTACATCCAGAAACGTATAAAAAGATAGAGGGAAACTTACTGGAATCAGCTCTACAGATTTGTTATATGGCAATGTTCTATTAACCTCAATTAACGTATCATCCCCAGTGTCTTACCCTAACCCCAATGCACCTGGCAGTAACCATACTTCATTAGTTAGAATGATGCAAAATAACAAAATATATATATATTTTAACACACAGAGGGGAACACAAATAACTTGTACTTAGAAGACAGATTACAGAGATGACAAATTGCTATCAAAAAAGAAAAGAAAAGGTGTTCTCACCCCCACATACACAGGCACTCCTACTGAAGATGGCAAAAAGTTAAAGTGTAGAACAAGAAAAGCTACATCTGGGAGACCGACTGAGTTTATTGCACTTTATGTAACTTTTGTTCTAATGGTAACTTGTACTCCTGCTCCCTCATCCTTGTATTTTTGGCTCTGAGTAGGAAGATGCATTTGTCAGCCACCCCAAATAGAAAAATGGGGGTGTTAGTGATCTCTGTTAAATGGTTCCGGACCAGTGATCAAGATCACTTCATTTGAAGTACTGCCATCACATGTGCTTTGGAACCTTGGTGGCTACATCCCTTCCAAAACTGGAGGGGAGAGCAAAGGGGATTGCAGGCACAGATAGCAGTAACATAAGCCCTGCAGAGGACTTTCTCTTACACTTCCTTTTATAGGGATGGAATGCACTTTAGACCTTTTTCTACCTTCCTTCTTCAACCTCTGTTCTGAGCAGGTGCAGAAGCTATCCCTAGCAAAGAACATGACAGCCAAGAAAGTAGCATACATACACACTCTAATTAAGCTAGCTGTCCTCACTACGCATGAGATACTACTTAGAGCAATTCTGATGCAGGGGTTGCAGCCGCATACCATGCCGAGTCACTTGTTTTACAGTGAGATGAAAGTGTTAGAAGAGTAACTAGTGAAAGAGAGATCTCATTTACAAGAATAAAGGGATATCACCTAAAAGAACTATTTCAAAGAACTATGACATGTCAGGAAACATAGCCTTGCTACAAATTAATTTTAAGGGAAAAAAAAAAAGTTGCACCTTGGATAGTCAAGAAAAAAAAAATCAGCAGATTGTGTATTTTAAAAGTCATACATTGCCAACATATTTTTCTTTAGTGAGAGAAACAGCATAAACAGCATAGAGGAGAGGGAAGAGCAGAAAGGACAGTAGATGAAAGGAAAAAAGTTTACCAGATTAAGGCAGAAAAGAAAGTAAACTTTTCCATGCCGTGATTTACCTTTTCTAACCATGTTTTCAAGAATGCACAAGATTAAACCAGTTCTGAGCCTTGGCTGGCACAACCGTGGCATTCACAGAGATGGTGACCGGTAGTATAATTAATCCTATTTATAGGCTCATCAGCTTATATTTCTAACCCTTTTCTTGGTCTCCTTCACAAGTTACAATTTAAACTTCTAAGAAGAAGAGGATTGCACCTGCTGATGAGAAGGTAGCAACTATTTCTAAAAAGGCATCCGTACACATATTTTAACACATAAGTGGGGACAATCAGAAAACACATGCACTAAAGATCCTCCACGCGTTTCAGGAGTCCCAAAATCAACTCCAAATGGCCACAAACTGAAAACCAAACAGGCTAGTTTTACCATCTTAGGCAGAAGAAAGAGGACAAGTAATCGTTGAAGAAATTACTCTTTAATAGATATTGTTTGAAAATACACATCATGTTTCAGAACAGGTCTATTAGATAAGAACATAAGTATTGTAGCCCTTTTTATCACAGTCACTCTGCTGGAATCTAACATTTACCTTAAACTCTCAGTCCAAAACAGACAGCTAAAATAAGACCAACACCAAAACACATTAAGGATAGGTTACAAGCGAAAATAAAGAGAATAAATTCAACCAAAGTTTATCATCCTAATTTAGCAATACCACAAGGATCTGAAATTAGACTGAATGCTGCTAATAAACCAAGAGCCTCGACCAGGTCAGCTCATCAGCGCTCACTGCAAACCGGCTCGTGCTGCAGTTTCAGCAGCGCCAGGGCACGGAGGGTAACGCGCCTCTCCCCGCCCTCGGCCCCCAGCCCGGCAACTGACCGCGTCACCGCGGCGATAAAACTCACCTTTCGGCCGGGGTTCAAAGGCACGGGGAGGGGGCTGCAAACGCCACTGCTACCGGCGGCA